ATCCTCTCGCATTCTTGTTTTACACATACATATCGGAAGATTTTATGCTTCTTTTGTTTCTTTCTTTTAATTTTGTTTTAGTTAATTTGGGTTATCCATTTGATATGCATTGACATGCACTTCGTAATACAATGTGAATATGCTTTCTTACAAATTTCTACAAACATATTTATGCAGCTTGAGGGTGAGGGTGAATGATATCGAAGAACACAATCAAAACCCGGGTGATTCCTAAGAATTCCGGAATTGATAATTAGATAGAATGCAGAGAACTGATTTTGATAAAAAAAAGATTCGTTAATTCTGAAGAATATCAAATTAGATCTGAAAAAGAGTTGGAATAATATCAAACTCTCAAATTACCCAATTGGGAAAACTCAAAGATGGAAATAGTCCACAAATCATAGCAACCAAATATGGAAACTAATACTGCCCTGTATCAAATATATATGTGAAAGTTACTCTTTTTGGACAAAAATTGAACTAAAAAGAATATCTTTGTATATTATACTTTTGGGGCATAATGTATGGGTGAGAATGGAATCTTGGAGCTTAATTTATTTTCTGCCTTATCCTGTTCAATAACTATTTATTATGTTAGAAATTGGATTAATTATTTTTTATTTTCTTTTTTTGGTTTATTTAGCAGGAGAAGAGATTTTTTTATATTGTAATGTAAAACGGAAAGAGTGATAGATAAATTACATTTCTCAAGAGTTGGATAGGGGAAGGAATGTATATTTGATATTTGGTGGAATAGTTGGTGAAGAGAGTCAATTATGGAAATGGATTATCTGAATTTAGTGAACTCTGATATGTATTTTGACTTAGAATGTGCTAGGACCAAGGATAAACAGTTAGATGAGGAATTTGCGTTTGTAAAACAGCTGGAGAAGGAAACAGATATTGAACAGTCATACAAGGATTTGCTGCTCTGTCATCTAACTAAGGAGGTAAGGTTTGTGCCAAGTAAGAGGAAAAATGAAAAAGATGATATCAGTGAGCATGATGAAGACTGGAGTCGCGAGGAGAATGATCCCCAGTATGAGCTTTTCTTGCGCAATCTTGAGAAGCATGAAAAGTCTTATGTATTCAACCACAAGAAAAATGGGTCGTGTCTTTTCATTAGATATGAAGAAGATAGTGATTCAGAAGATGATGACTCTGATCCAGAGTCTCAGAGAAAATTAACAGATCACAAGCCCCGGAGAAAGCTAACAAATACTGTCGAGGGAGAGAAAATTGAAGCTATGAGATGCTCAAGTGATTCAATAATGCCAGATTCTGACTATCTTTTTTTTATGCAAAATACTAAAATTGAAGGTGATTATCTTATATTGTCGCACGATGATGGTACGATAATATATGAGAAGGATGGTATTGTGATTAGCCCGGAAAAGGGGGACAATGATGATGGTCTGGAAATTCTAGACATTGCTCCAGCTTGGAAGGATGAAACCGAAAATTTTATCTTTGTACGTTAGCATTCATCTATCACTATGCTGTCGTCCCCCCACCCATCTTGTCTTTAAATTTGAATCAAAGTACTAGTATTATTCATGTTGTATGATCTTGTGCAGATAGAGCAGGACAGTTCAAAAATGCACTCTGACTTCAGGGAAGAACTCGTGTGTATTCTTCAAAAACAATATGATAGAGAGGAGTACAAAAAGCTTCGGAAAGACGTTGAAGTCCGTAAGGCAGCACTTCGCCATAGGGAGTTGCGTAATGGGAGGGAAAACGCGTACTCTACAGATAAAGCTGGAAAATCTTATCTTGATCGCTATCCTGGTAGGTCGAAGATCCTGCATTTCTTGTTTGGCATTGCAATATTTCATCACATCTGACATTGTGGGATGTCATGATATGCAATGGTGTTTATTTACTGTGGAATTTGAGCTAACCTCTAATGTTCCTGAATGTCATGAGAATTTAATCATATGCTAAATTTCACTTAGTATTAGTTGTAAAACTTTATTTCTTAATCATTTGTGCTTTTATTGTTTCTCATTTTTTCAGATGCCGTTGCCACAAAGGGTTTTGTATCACGCTCTTCTTCCCAAATTAAGTGTTTTGGCTACTTGTGCAATATTTCATGTAAAGGCTTGAGATAATCTATTTCTAGCCTCTTGTTAAGCAAGTCCACTCTCCATCTCTCCCCCTTAAACAGTATGCCGATTCCCCCTGCACAAAACTAATAGCTCCAAGACATATCCACCATTACAATTTGTACACTGCACCTAACGCAATCACCCTCCCTATCTCCCCCTTAGAATTCTGAAAATAATAATAGCTGCAGATTAACCTGCTAATTTCGTATGAATGATTGTCCTGCAATGTGCACCACAGGTTGGTTTGAAATTCAAATTCATAAACCTAAAACTTACTCTAATTGTTTGAGCAACTTCGAAATGAACATATTAGAAAAGACATGTAGAAAACAACGAAAAAGTGTAGTCTGCACTAAATTTGTGAGGACAATCTATCATTCTATATTTTTCTCATCTTCGTATACGTCAAATTTCCGTTAATCTTCCTTTTTTAAATTGAAGAGCTTCATTCTGATTTTACTCTCATTCTCTCACTTTATTTAGTTTTTTTTCCTCCAGTTCAGGTTTTTCTCTGGAGTGACACAAATCTGAGATGTGTATCTTATTGTGTGCAGATCTTAAGGAAGCACTTATAAGATGCCAAGATGACAAACCAAGATGCTTGAACCTCTTGCGTGGATTCTTCTTTTGGCTTCAAGTGAGAATAACTTCATACATTTCATCTTTTGAATATACTATGCATCGAAAATTACTGTATGCAAAGAGATTACGGATAATGGAGATAACTAAATAGAAAGTCTTTCCAAGATGGAAAGTTTGTTACATTCATGGAAACTATATCGCACATCCAATAATCCCTTTTACATAAAGATGAACTTATGTTCTCCATTGATAGTTTTACTTGTGAGTTAATTTTCAACTGAAGAACTCGTGCTTCATGTTGAATCAGTGTCTAACTAGGGAAGGAGCATTCAAACCATGGAAGGACCAAGAATGCCTAGCAGTGGAGCCAATACGTTGCCCCCCTCTCGATCCTGAGCGAAAAATCAAACAAGCAATGAAGTGATGTACTGAAAGAAACTTATGCTTTTGGGGGAATGTATTTTCTTTAATCTCGTTTTATGGAGGTTCTATGCTATTTTCAACAGAGTAGCAGTTTCTTAAAATACTGAATTCGGACTAGTTTTGTTAATATCTCTGATAATCCATTTGTACATATCAACAATCTGTTTCTCTGGGTGTGAATTTGTTGGCTTTCTTGCTATGTTGTATACTGCTTTCTAGGTTCACTTGATTTATAGGTGTAGCAGTGAAAATATTTACCCTTGTGAAGGGACATGTGCACACCCCAAGGATAGGGATAGATAAAAAAACAAATGCTTTGAGCTGGTTGTGCTGGTGTTCCCTGATTATCTTACCTCTATTCGTTATTGTACATCTTGGATTCTGCGCGGTTTTCCCATGCTGAAGTTCAACATCCTTGCATTCATGTTGTATTGGATTTCTCCTTCATAAAGCAGCTTCCTGATGTAGTGTTCCATGTCAGACCCAATCAATCAAAGTGTGTATTCAGTCAACGGTGCTCCCTGGTTCCATTGCGCCATCAATATGTTGCTATCAATAGTTTTGTTACTACGATGAATTCTAATGTTATTAAGAAAACTAATAAGATAACTTAGTTTTGTAAGAGATCCACAAGTTCTTGGAAAAAGGAGTAAACTTTGTTGCAGGTTTCATCTGTCCACAGAAACTAATCAGTAGGGTCGAGGATAAGAGTGAGTTTATCCATGTGTTTGGTCGAATTCGCAAGATTCAGGGTCAATATAAGCTGTATAAATCCTAACATGTCTAGTGGCGCTGCTAAGCCACTGTCCACCATATTCTCTGCCCATATTTTTGCTTCACATGCACCTGAGGTTCGATTGGCCTTATGGGTGTGATGGGTGTCGTTGCCTGCTTGCTGTTTCCTGTTCTTTTCTTCTGTTGCTTCCTCAAGTTTCATTTGTTCTTCGACTTCTGCATGCTGCGATGAAACAGAAAATACACTTGTTTTTCTCAGTTCCCTTTTGCTACGTCTCCATCCCAGAATGTAGAAGTTTGTTGAAGCCTTATGAGTTGAAGTTGCTGCCATGGCTTGTTGATGATGCTATTATTGCCTCAGAATTTGAATGAAAGGCAAATGTTTCACATCCTCAAATAATTGTTGATGAGAACTTATTTTTTAACACACTTACCCCCACACTGTGACTGTATGGCTGTTTTTTCCTTTTTTTAACTGTGGTGCCTCGTGTGGTAGTATTTTCTTTAAGGTCTGTGGGGAGAACATGGGGTATATTCAAAAGAAATACAAGAAAATTGTCCTCGTTTAGCACTTTTAAAATACTTACTTTTAATTTGAAGTAAAAAAAAAATACTAAAAAATACTTATTTTTAAAGTGACTCGAAGTCACAGTCATATAAATAGTTTGCTCATTTTTAACTTCGACAACTGAAATGTTATTTGTTATCAAAAATTTGTTCAGTGTAATTGGATACTAATTAAATGGATCTATGCTAGCAAATATGAAATCCATCCAAACATTCCAATCACTTAGAAAGTTAAACTTCAAAATTTCAATTTGCTCAACTTGTTCTCACAAATCTTTAAGTAAAAAAATGTTTGACAAAACCTATGACCTATCAATACATTGACGTAAGAAACATAAATCGCAACAAAGCAGCGATGACAAACAGTTACCATACAGAATCATAGCCTCGTTTACAGCACGTTTCTGCTGTCAATATCCCGGGATGAACTTATAGTACGACTAAAATTCATCATACTGATAGGCTTTACTAGATCATCAAGATCAATCACCTCTGCCTCGGAAGGGCTATCATCCCGTACTCGTTTGCTTGATGGGCAAATACTATGTTCCACTTCCTCGTCACCTATGTCCATGCTAATATAGTCTTCGAGTTTTTCTTCTTGACAAACTATGTTATTATTACCTATTGTGGGGAGCTCAATTATAGCTGTTCGGTTTCAGCAACATCAAATGGCCAAGAATCAAAGTATCGCCCTCGGACATTCTTCCCCTCAGACGAAGATTTCCTCTTGATTCCCGTCTTCCAGTTAGGATGGTGAAGCTTGTACTTGGAATCTTCGGGGACAGATACCCGTTGCTTCAAAAGCAGGACAGACGTAGGTGTGTTTCTTCCAGCACTGCAAGTACAGCGATATGATCCATTCACAGGAATTAAGATTAGTGGTAGTGTGCATATGGAATGTTGATCATTATAAACCAGACAACTTTATTTCCTAGTATTACTTAACAGGGAAAAAGGAAATTTGTGATTTGAATGAGTACCTTTCAAGTCTCGGCAAGGGCAGAGATATGATCTTGGTGTTTGGCATGCAGGCACTTAGATAATGAACAAGGTTTTAGTTTTTAGTTTTTCCTTCTTTAATACTCTCGACTGTTATCCCTCCATGTGTCTGAGTGCATGTAGGCAACCCCCAACTTTACCCATTTCAATGCTCCACAGCAGGTGAAAGATCAAAGATCTAAACTTAAGAGAATATTACAGGCAAAAACAAGCAGTACCTCATTGCCATCAGCACAATAGCCTTTGAGAAAACTTTCACAAATAGAGGAATTTGGGTTCACATTTAGAGCATAACACTGTCAAAAAACTAAGTTAGCCTTCTAAACATTAAGAACTAATTCAACAACTCAATAAAAAAACAACCACATACCTTGCAGATAATAAGAACAATCCTGCATCCTCTCCGGAATGACCTGTATGACATGTGGAGTAAAGGGAAAAAAAATGCAAAAGAGAGGCATTAAAAAACTGTATGATGAGTGTCATACAGAACAGGAATCACATCATACCTTGTGTGTCAATTTGCATTCAGGATTCGAACATAAGCCCTTCAGAAATTTTGTGCAGACTTCAATTTTTGAGGGGTCATGAATGTAAGCACACTTCCCATCATCTTTATCAAATCCTGTAAAAAACTGGCAGTATTTTCTCTTTCTGCTCAATCGCAATCAGTGTTCTAAAAGGCGCACCTAAGCACGACGCGCATTGAAAATGCCAAGCAGGGCATTATAAATCACGCTTCTTTTAAGTTTTAAACTAAAAATTAAACCCAATTTTCGTTTTTCAGTGCCCTAATTGAAGAGTGAAGACAACTTCCCAAAGCTCCCAAAATTTCCTCTCCAACTGCAACATCTCATAACTCTCTTACAACGGTTGCCTGCTCGGTCATCTTCAACAAACAATTTCCAGTTTCTATATGTCGGTAAGTTAGACAAAAAATGGGAAACAGTTGCTTGTTGAAGAATTAGTGGTTTTAACGGTTGAAGAATTTCCAGTTTCCAACTAAAAATTTAACTATTGCTTGCTTGCTTTGCCTTCTTCAACTCTCTTCCAATTGTTGTTTTTTGTTTTTGCCTTTTTGACAGTGGGTTTATACATTATAATATTGTCTCCATAGTGGGGGGTTTATAAAAGTACAGAAAATTGAAAATGAAAGAGATAGCGGGGTTTTCTCTAGTGAGTTAATGGAGTTGTAAGCTTTGTGGCTAATGAAAGAGACACTGGTTAATTCATAATGGAATTTTCCATTTTCTCTAGTGCACTGTACACTATCAATTTTACCAATTCTTTTTTCATATCAAATGGGGTTCGTAGGTGGAGAAAAGTATCATGAATTTGTTAGTGTATCTCACGAATTTGGCATTCGTTTTCAATATAATGTTTAGTATGTCTAATTAATAATTATTAAATAATTTTTTTGATTAAAAATTTAAAATAATATTAAAATAAGCAAAACGCTTTTTTTTTACGCATTTGTCTTGCCTAATCTCACCTACCCCCTAGCTTGGGGTAAATGCATTGCTACGCATTACGCCTTTTAGAACACTGATCGCAATCTGGTAATGTGCAAACTCCAACGAACTTTCTCGCTCGCTAGGATATGCCTTCATTTCTTGGGGTCTCTAACCAGCTGGTTGCCATTTCCAAATTCGCACATATCTATGCAGTTTGAAGGACGTATCAGAAAACCAGTTACTTAAAGACATGTAAGCTCATCTCTCTTTAGTTTTCAATTTTCCAGAATTGTGTTTCAATGAGATTTTTTAGAGTCAATTAATTCTTCAGTTCAACTTATATTGATATTGAACATAACTTACTCCTCGTTGCCAATTAACAATCTCCTGGGAACATAGGAAGTCTTAATTTTCTTTCCAGATTCGAGAGCAACTGAGTTTGACGGTTTTTCATCTGCTCCATAAACATGATCAAATAATTAATAGTTCACAAATTTCAGATATGTCATTACATGCTCTGCTATGACCCTCTAAAATCAAGCCTTGCACGGAGCACTCAGTTGTATATCGTAATTATCTAGCTGACGCTCTCCCCCACCCCCCACCCCCGAACCCAACCCTTCCCGGCGAACAATACCTGCCTATCGGTGATTGGATGCAATCCCTATTTGCCTTAAAAATCAAAACATTCCCCTAATGGATCAACAATCGTGCTGGAGGTTAGTGGGGCCTCCTCATGTGAGGAGGCTGTTGACCTCCAAAAATGGCTCCAACAGGCACCCTAGCTTTGTCCCCTCGAAACCTGCGCATGTAGCACCCCGTCAAGAGGCAAAGGCGGCCGGACGAGAAAAAGGTCCGACGACCGTTTGCACTCCGACGGTCAAGTCAACGGCCGAACGAGAAATAGATATATAGAGTGCAATAGTAGAGAGATGGGGGATTTGGCTAGAGTATTTAGAACATACCTTAACTTGTGAATTGAATCCACATATATATAGAAATGATGTGAAATGGGCTAAGGCGGGTTAATGGGCCTAAGTTCGAGCCCAGTATGAGGTGAGCAAAGTGATAGGCACTTCGACTGGGCTTTTTATGGCCTCGGTGGCGCCTCGGCTAGGCTTCTTAGAGCCTCGGCTTTGAGGCCCAACACTAATGGG